GTGGGTGAGGGGGCAGGGCTGACAGGTATGGGTGTGAGTGGGTGAGGGGACAGGGCTGATGGATGTGGGTTGGCTAAGGGGACAAGGCTGACAGGCGTGGGCCTGGTGGGCAGAGGGGACAGTGCTATTGGAGCCTCATCTTAATAGCCAGGTGAAGAGGGGCGTGTGACCGTGCAGCTCGGAAAGGCGGAAGCCCAGGAGAAGAGAGAGTCATGGAGAGGCACCCCTGGGGCTGCATATCCCCAGGATGTCCGGGACAGAAGGGCTGAAATGCCTTTTGGGTGGAGGCGTGGCGGGTCGTGGTGGGTCGCAGGTCTGTGGTGGCCTGAGCCGCCAGGCTTCCTTGTTGCTAGTGGTAGCTCCAACTTTGCGTTGTCCCAAACAGAAGTAGCCCAGTTTGTGCACTCAATCATATTGTGCCCTAGACCATCCCGGAAGGCTGGTGGGCTGAAGCCAGTATGGTGAAGCCAGGAAAGGTGGAGTAGGGGGCTGGAGGGGGGAAGGACGGGGACAGAGCTGCACCCACAAGGCGGGGGACTGCAGAGCGGGGGCTGCGTTACCAACGGGCAGAGGAAAGGACCCCTCATATAGGGTGCTGGAAAACGGAAAGGGAAGAAAAGTGGTTATCTGAAGTTTAACACCTTTTTACTGAGCTTTTTGGGGTGTTTCGGTGTAGAGGGTGTGTAGAAATTGAAAAGTAAACTCCAGCCCTGTCGGATTTAGCATGACCAGTGCAGTGCAGAGCCCAGGGTGCCCAGCTCACACAAGCTCTTCTCTGGGAAAAAGAGCTTGTCCTTTGTTTGTTTTAATTGACATTGTTTTTAGAGCAGTTTTAGGTTGACAGAAAAATTGGATGGAGATTACACACAGTTCACTCCCTTCCCCCTCAAGTTTCCCAGTCACTAACATCTTCCATAGTGTGATATATTTGTTACAATTAATGAACTGATACTGACACTTTATTATTAACTAAAGTACAGCATTAACATTAGGATTTACTCCTGTGTTGTGCAGTGTTGTGGGTTTGGACAAGTGCAGGAGCGCGAGTCACACACAGCACGGTGTGGACAGGCGCGGGCATGAGTCACACACAGCGTGGTGTGAAGCACACTCGGGTGTGAGTCACACACAGCGCAGTGTAGATAGACCCAGGTACGAATCATGAGTCACACACAGCACAGTGTAGACAGACCCGAGCGCGAGTCACACACAGTGTGGTGTGGACAGACCCGAGCGCGAGTCACACACCGTGTGGTGTGGACAGACCCGAGCGCGAATCACACACAGCGTGGTGTGGAGCAGACCCGAGCGCGAGTCACACACAGTGTGGTGTGGACAGACCCGAGCGCAAATCACACACAACGTGATGTGGAGCAGACCCGGGCGCGAGTCACACACAGCTCAGTGTAGACAGAGCCGGGCGCGAGTCATACACAGCATGGTATTGACAGACCCTGGCGCGAGTCACACACAGCGAGGTGTGGACAGACCCTGCCCCGGCCCCCTGAGCCACACTTTCCCTTCTTACCTCCCCTTGAACCCAAGACAACTGCAAGTCTCATTCCTGTCTCTTCAGACTACGTTTTCCAAATTGTCACCTCGTTGGAATTGTCCAGTGTGTGGCCTCTGCAGGCTGGCTTCTTGCACTTAGCAGTATACATTTTCACTTCCTCCAGTGTCTTCTCATGACCTGACAGCTCATTGGCTTTTGTTACTGAAAATATTCCACTGGCTGGAAGTGCCACACTTAATCCCTTCACCTGTAAGAGCTTGTATTTTCATGTGCAGTTTTATGATTCCTCATATTGCACTTGTAGATGTGTCTTCACACTTCATACAAAATAAGTGTCGGATTATTTTATTCACCAAAGTATTGCTAATTAGCAGAGCTCAATTTTTCGAATGTGTCAGTTTACCAAATTTATCTTCTGGGTTTGAGTTTATTAAGATCCTGTGTAGACCTTTTTTGGTTTTCCTTTTTTTTTTTAATGCATAGGATCTTTTGCCAGAAATGAAGGAATATTGGCCTGATCTCATTCACTTGTTCCCCAATCGCAGCAGCTTCTGGTAAGTTCCAGCCTTGGAGTGCTGTCTGAGCGGGTGTGGGGAGCGTGATGAATCACTCTCAGTGGAAACTGTGTGGGAAGCAACATAACAGAAGCTGTCTTTTGGGGCTGAGCAGATTGAACAGCCTTTCAGGAGCTATGATTCTGTTATGGCATCTTTGGCGCCTTTCTCCAATGTGGAATAAAATGAAAGCAAGTGGAATTCACCTTATAAGCCTGTTTTTAAAGCTATGTGATATTTATTACTTTGCTTTAAAACTTTTCTCAGCCAGTCACAATGGCTCATATCTTTAATCCTAGCACTTTGGGAGGCTGAGGTGGTGGTTTGCTTGAGCCCAGGAGTTTGAGACACGACCAAACCTTGTCTCTACCAAAAATTTTAAAAGTCAGCCAGGTGTGGTGGTGCACACTGTGGTCCCAGGAGATGAAGGTTGCAATGAGCTGTGATCATGCTGCTGCACTCCAGCCTGGGTGACAGGGTGTTATATGTGAATTTTTGGTGCCACAAAGGAAGTAGCACTTGAATATAAATTTAATTTTCTCAGCAAGACAACTTTACTTCCTGCAGAAAGGGTGCTCCCGTTAGCCATCTTGCCGCCAGAGGACCCTGAACAAAGGAGGCAGGGACATTTATATCTAACGCATCTGCCCTGCTGCTGTGTCCTGATTCCATTGGCTGGAACTGGACTTCACAGTCTAGGCTGCACCCAGCTGGCTAATAACTTAAAACTTTTCTAAAGAGATGAAGGCAGAGAACAAAGGAAAAGAGGAAGTAACTTGAGGAATGCTTAGAGAGGCAATGACATTTCCAAATAAGGAAGGGGAAGAAGCTATGAACTAAGACTCACCTGGGCTTGTCCAGGCATGTCAGGGCAAATATCTAGGTTAAAGTGTAAGAACTAAGAACACGGATGCACTTATTTCTTTATCATGACTGACAGCGACTTTATTAGCAAAAGCCTTTAAAGTAAATTAACCTTTGGAGAAACTATTATTTATTCGTAATGAACTAAGAGGAAAACTTTGAAGAGAAACCTTTTATTTATTCTTATTTCCTACACAGGGTGAGACCCTGTCTCAAAAGAAAAAAAAAAAGAAATAAAAATAGAAATTTTGTCCTCTGAGGCTCACCAGAGTCAAATGCTTGCGTATCTAAGAATTAGTCCATATCGGACCTAAGAGGAAATTTCTTAAGGAAATTGTGCTCCTTTCTTGAAATATATTAAGAACTTGCCTTTAGTCCCAGCTACTCGGGAGGCTGAGGCAGGAGAATCGCTTGAACTCAGGAGACAGAGGATGCAGTGAGCTGCGATTGCACCATTGTACTCCAGCCTGGGCAACAGAACAAGACTCTGTCTGGAAAAAAAAATATATGTCTTCTAAGATGTTGCTCTCATGCCTATGCCTTAGGGAGGAGGCAAAGTGAGACTTGGCTTGTGAGGCTGAGACCTCAGTCACAGTGAAACACCTTCAAGCTCAGCAGAAGCTCCCCAGGACATAAATGCCAGGTTGAATTCAAGATAGCTTTTAAAGTCATTGCTTTTTTAATAAAATAAAGTTGAATTCCTTATATTAACATTATATTAACTGAAGGCAATTATTTTGTATATCCCACTTCAATATTGCAATTTATAATTCAGATTATAACCCATCAAATTCTGGGCAGGAAGATTAACCTAGAAATATTTTTGTGTATAATTTTCAGGAAAATGGCAAGTTAAGTTTAGAAAAACTTTTTAAAATCTAAATGGAAGTGATGTCCCTCTTCATCTCTTCATTGGTTCATCGGTGTGGCAGTGAAGTGGTCTTAGGATCCACAGATCTTCAGTGTGTGCATTGAATCCCCCTTAAGTTCAGAGAACCACTCTTAATGAAAATATGGGTGGTGTGTGGTTCAGGCTCAGTCACTTGTTCTGCACAAACCTGTGTTCTAGAAAATTATTTCAAAATAATGGCCATAATGAGTTGAAATGGAAGAAGATAGGGAAAAAAAAATGTCACTTCACAGTGTACTTCAGAAGATGAGTCCATGGTAACAGTACATGAAAGAGTATTTTTCCAGTTGTTACAATGTTCCATGATAGAGTCCGTCAGATTTTAGCCAAATGGCATAAAATAAATCAGCAAACACACAAAGGCCTTCAGTGAGCTGGGTCTTAAGCGTTTAATCAGAACAGTGTGGGCAAAGTATGCATTTATTTTGTGCTCCAGTAAAGGCAGAATAGCTTACTTTAGGGAGGCGCTCCTTCCTGTCTGGGCTGTGTCACACAGTTGTGGGCCTTTCGCTCAGGTCACCTGACTCGCTCCACGGGGTGGCCTCTGGGTTCTCCACTTCTGCTCCTTTGGCAGAGGAAAGGGAGGCTCTGTCAAAAAACATTTTTCTTCATCTCCAGTAGAATCAATGTGCAAAATAGGGTGTCTTGTATGCCTTCGTGTTCAGGATAATTCCTTAAGGTTAGCCATATTGAAAACTATTACATATGCATCCCTCTACAAAGTGGGCATTTTTGTTTTTTGTTTTTTATTCTTGTAAGAAGAAACCAGATTTGGGTCATGCGGACTTGGCGCTGCAGCACTGCTGTGGAATGTGTCTTTGGGCATAACCAGCCGGGGGACTGGCTGCCTCTTGTGGCTGAGGTGGGCCAGGCGACACTGGGCGGCTGACCCCAGGACATCTGCTCCTGGCCACATCTGCGCTTGGTAGGTGAGTCAGGGCATCTCTCAGCACGGAGGGCAACATGCTGAGTCACTTTGCATTGGCGACTGACCCTTTTGATGGTTAAAAAACAGGTCCAGTTCCAAGTGAAGTGTGAGTGAATGTGGTGAGCTTTGTGAATATCAGTCTTATCTCCAACATCTGTTGAGTGAAGCTTGCTCCAAGAATAATGGTGGCTGACATTTACTGTTTATTGTGAGCAAGGAACTGTTTTCATTCATGTGGAAGGGCTCAGGGCACTTCATCTCACCTACGGAATTATCCCTGTTTTATAGAAACTAAGTCACCTGGAATTCAGGTTACATTTCGATTAGTTTAAAATAATTTCATTTTTCTACCCCACAGAATATAGGAAGCTATCAGGTAATTCGCTCTGGAATGGATTCAAGATGAAGATAGTTACTCATCCACTTTTATCCTTCCTGTTTTCAAATTTTCATCGTTTTCTGAGACCAAATCCATAGCAGTCATCTAAAACTAGTATTTTGGATGAATTTTGCCAATGAATTAATGCACGTTTAGATTGCATTTTTAAGACTGCATATAAGTGCTTTATAAGTGGTTGCATGAATATTATTTATTAAAACGTCGTGGATTCATCGCTGATAAAGCTGAGGAAAATGGGGATTTTGTCTTTTCATGCTAACAGTGGTAAACATCTGAATGACACGCCGGTCCTTCTGAAGGTGGCTGTACATTCTCGTCAGGAGTTGATTGGATGGCAGCCCAGTGCAGTGGGAAGGGCGCTGACGTTGGACTTGAGAGTGGCCTTCAGCAAGTCCCCTGGTCCTTCTAGGCTTCTGTTCCCTGTCTCTAAACTGGCAATGATATTTTCACCTTGCAGAGTTTTGAGAACCAAGTGAAGAACGTGAAAGATTTTTGTAAACCTTTAATCTGCAATAAAATATCAGGAATTATCAATAACCACATTTTTCTGGAATACAAATTGCTGTTCATGTGCATCCCTTTGGGTAGGCTGTTACAGTTGTTCTTATTGTCCTCTATGTAGAATGGACACAGAAACTAGAATTTGTAGAAGCTGAAATGGAAAATGGGCCTGAGGTGTTATCTGGTAATTTGCTGTCCTGCCTTTTTGTGGCTGGTTGCTTAGAAATGACAGTTAGTGCCACTCTGCGAAATTCTCTGGCTCGGAGGCACCCACTCACTGCAGTAGACCCGCACGCTGCTTTGTGAGCCGGTGGGGGCTGGAGTGGCAGCAGGTTCTTTTCCTCAGCTTTGATTTGCTGTTAATTGAGCAAGCTGTAATTGTAGAGGTGAACTGAAACTGATTGTTTAATCGTGGGGGATTTAAGTAATTGCCAATGTTGTAAATAAGGGATTTTATCCTTCCTACTTTGTAAAAGAAATGACATGCCTACTGCATAGGAATATTCTGTGCTAAGAGAAAACATGCTTGAGCATTTTAATTGAGAATCAGTTTCATGACCTTTTTTTTTGAGATGGAGTTTCTCTTTTGCCCAAGCTATAGTGCAATGGCATGATCTTGGCTCACTGCAGCATCCACCTCCTGGGTTCAAGCAATTCTCCTGCCTCAGCCTCCCAAGTAGCTGAGATTACAGGTGCTCACCACCACACCTGGCTAATTTTCTTGTAGTTTTAGCAGAGACCAGTTTCACCATGTTGGTCAGGCTGGTTTGGAACTCCTGACTTCAGGTGACCCACCCCCCCATCAGCCTCCCAAAGCGCTGAGATTACAGGCATGAGCCACAGCACCTAGCTGTTTCATTACTTGTAAGTGGAGATTTTTTTCTCATCCTCACAGGAATCATGAGTGGCGTAAGCATGGGACCTGTGCCGCCCAGGTGGACGCGCTCAACTCCCAGAGGAAATACTTCGGCAGAACCCTGGAACTGTACAGGGAGCTGGACCTCAGCAGGTGGGTGCGCCCTTCCTTCCGCTGGCCGCACTTCCCAGTGGGGACCTCTGCTGTCTCCCAAGCCTGATGGCTGGATCCAGGGGAGTGAGTGTAGACCATGCTGCCCTCTTCAGTGGCTTCTGCATGTGTGCTGTTCGGCTAGTGGGATCATTCCTGAGGAATGTTCTGGGCCTACCAAGCCTTTCCGGATCATTCTACATTATGATCACACGGGGGGGCGGGCAGAGTATTGGGCCGCCTGTGAGGGCATCATCTCGTCATCAGAGTTCAGCCCTAGGGAAAACAAGGACTCAGACCAGCGCATGCGTTTCTCAGCCATGATTCCTGGTAAAAGATAGTGCATTCACAGGCCATTTCCTTAGAAAGACGCAAACTCAGGAAGTCTGTGGGTCTTTGCTACAGAGCTCTTGAAACAAGCAGGCAGGAAAGAGATGCAGGCCAGAGTTTTTAGGCCCCAGAAATGACCCAAACCTGCCTGAATTGTCCCTGCCGACCCTTGCCTCATTTCTGGAGAAGGGGAATATGTTGTCACTACTCAAGCCAGTAAACATGTAAAACAGAGTGCTTGCTGAGGGCCACGGCCCAGCCCACTCCCTGTCCGAATCTGGCCGCTGGGAAGCCGGGACATGCCCTTACCTCTCCATCTGGGTGTTTTGGGGCGCCAGTGTCTTAGCTGCTGTCACTGGCCTTCATCATGAGAGGTCACAATAAACCAGTGAAGTCGTTGTAAAAAACAGGACAGGGGATTTCACAGCCTCTCTGTTGCTGTTTGCAATTTACACAGCTTGTTTTAGAGCAATTCCCCTTCAAATCAGAATAATACCTGCAGCCTTTGCTAATCAGCTGTATTTAAGGTTTCTGAATCAAATCTGTTTAAAAGATGAATAAACCTCCATTGCTTCTCTAGACATGGGCTTCGCCTCCTCAGCGCACAAAAGCGTCTCACACAGATGGTCTCCTGTGTCATCTGATGGAGCGCGGTCTGAGAGCTGTGACTTGGGTGGGATACAGCTCAGGCGCTGGTAGAAGAGGGGCTTGGCACGGTTAGCAGGGACCATGATTACATCAGAATACCCTGTGAATAAGCGTTAAAAATCACCTGCTCCCAGAACTTGTGGCTTTAGGTATGCCTTTTGATCCTGGTTCTGACACTAACTAGTTGTGTGATTTGTGTGTCTAACCTCTAGATCTTATTTTCATGCTGTAAAATAATTAGATAGGTTGCCCTCAATCCTGAAGTCTCTTCTAGCTCTTAAAATTTGCACTACCACGTACATACACTAAGACAGTTACACAAACAGGACATGTTACAGATTCTGTGCACTGGGATTTGTATATAGTTTGTATATATAATTTTGTGGGTAACACTCCCCGTGGGCACCGAGGAAGGAGAACTGTCCAGATCCCAGGCACAATTAGTGCCTGAGGAATATCTTAGTTTATAGTGTTATTACTCAGCTGTTTCCTTTATATAATCCTTTATATATAATCATATATTCATTTATAGAATTAGTGCCTGAAGTATATCTTACTGCTTACATATATCTAGCTTATATAATCATACTTAATACTTATACCTAGCCTACTTAGTTCTATATAATCTTTCTATATAATCATATGGGTATTGTAGTCAGAGCTGTACCGACACATTTAGTGCTGATTTATAGAATCCTTCTATATAACCATATAGTAGTTTGTAGTAGGAGGACTCCCTAGAGCAGTCACAGAACAGAAGCAGCACATGGGAAAACAGCCAGACCAGGACAAGAACCAAAGACCCAGGCGTGGTGTCCCTGCCTGAAAGGGCATACGCTGTATGGCAGGCTTGGAGCAAGAGCCTCTCCTCCTGATAAAGGAGTTGTAGTACCTTGCATCCAGTTCCTGTGGAAAGTCGGCCTCAGGCCTGAGATCCTGGAAGTAACCGAGGGAGAAGAACCCCTCTGGTGTGACCAGTCACGCGACTGTACACCCTGTCAGTCTTTTCTCACTTCTGTGCTAGCTCAAATCATCCTCCCATAAATATCTTAAGAGAAGAGCACAAGTCTGTTAGCTCCCACTGCATTGGCTTACAGTACCCTTCTATTAGAAATCCTTTGAAGTCTCCAGCCCCCAGATAAGAAGTGTTGGACACATCACCTGTTGCACACAGCCCACCTCCTTGTCTCAGTGACCTAATGGGGGTGGACCCCTTTTCTGTGCACGGCACGATCCCCTACTGCACATGGCCCACCTCTCTGCCCAGGAGGCATAATGGGGCGGCCCCCTCGCTTGTGACTCACGTGATTATGTATGCCCTATCACTAAGCCTGTAGATGATGACCTCACTCGTGACCCTTCCCCCTGCTTGTACCTAATAAATACAGACACTTACTGCGTATTCGGGGGCCTTGCTGATCTCTGCTCACAGGTGGCACGGCCCCCCGAGTCCAGATGGTCTTCACCAGCTCTTCAGTGTCCTGTCTCTTCTCGGATCCTACACCATAGCACAGCATAAGGGACACCCCACAATCCTGTGGGCCAACAGCCCTACATAATTTCATCTGTATAATTGAATCTTAGGTTTTTCATAGAAGAAGCATTGCTTTCTTGCAGTAAGAGCAATATTTTAGGAAACATTTTCTCTCCCCAAAAATGTAGCTAATTAGCAGTTCAAAAGTCATTATGGGCTGGGTGCAGTGGCTCACACCTGTAAATCCAGCACTTTGGGAGGCCAAGCAAAAATAAACAGGTATAATTAATTTCAAAATATTTCATTAAACTCAGCATATCAAAAATATGATCACTGAAACTTAGGATAAATATTTTGAAAAATTGAGATAGTTTACCTTCTTTTTTGCTGCAGAGTCTGAAACCTGTTATTCATACCACACTGACAGCTAGGGCAGGTGAGGTCCTGTGGGTTCAGGCTGTGTCTGGGGCCAAAAGGACATGGCCTGACATCTTGGTCCTTGTTCCAGGAACTCTGTGGCCAAGACAGTCTGATGACAAGTTCATGCCAACAGAGGCTGCCTGAGCCTTTGTGTCCACTCCGTGTGATCATGAACTAGAATTTTCTACAAAGGCTTGATGGGGAATTAGAATATTCTTCTGGAATGATTCCGAATTTTTATCATGTACCTTCATAATTTAATGAGTAAATTCTGTATATGGTAGGTGGGTAGGATTCTCTATAGCAGTGCTTTAGGACATGAAAGCTATGGGGACTTAACATACAGTTATGTATTGCTTAGCGATGGGGTGTAAGACTGTCGTTATGGGAAGATCTTGGAGTGCATGTACTTAGCTGATACAGCCCGTGACACACCTATGCTTTGTGGTATAGCCATACAGGTATGGTGTGTAACTGTACTGAATGCATAGGCACCTGTAACACGATGGTAAGGATTTGTGCATCTAAATGTATCTCCACACAGAAAAGGCACAGTAGAAATATGGTCATGTGGGACCGTCCTCGTACGTGCAGGCCTTCACTGACTGAATGTCATAATGTGGCACATCACTGTGTTTAATATTTGACCAAATGCAGTTTTCCAGGATAAGCCTGGAATCCAATTTCAATTGCTAACTATATTTCAAGGGGGGTGACAAACAGGTGGTGCTCTGCGTGCCAGTTCCACTTGGTGGTGGCCCCTGCACTCCCACGCTTAGAAGGATTCAGGAACTGGAAAGGGCGCCTGGAGCAGTTAGTGTGGGTGCTAAGGGGAGGGGGAGGCATGGGCTAGGAACCATTCATTTGCTGTCCTTGTTAACACATTTGTTGCATAAAGTAGTAGATAAAAAAGCACTTCCCTTTAAGAGTGTCTTAATTTTTACTGTGAAATGTGATATCTGAGAGGAACAAGAAAGGAAAATGGACCTTCATTATACAGCTAACTTTTTTAAATTTGAATTTTAGTGTGCTCCTAAAATTGGGGATACAACCATCCATCAATTACTACCAAGTAAGTCTTTCTTTGCTTCCTGTGTATGTCTCCCAGGGACCTCCAGCAGGGCATTTCAGCCCGTGAGCCAGCTGGGCTGCAAAGTGACCCAATGCAAACCCCACTCCCATTTAACTTTTATAATTAAACATTTTATTTTTTGTGCATGTTGAGTAGGAGCTGAAGGCTTCCTAGACCAGTGATTTTGAAGCACAGATTCGTGGCCTCTTTTGTGAGAAGCGTGTGCTCCAGGGTCTGTCTGGCAGGGAGGTTGGAATCTGCAGTTTGAAGAGTCACATTCACTTTTATAACAGTCTTATATTTGTTTGTGATTTGTTTTATGATAAAATTATAGACATTTAAGCATGACAAGAGGTTATTAGCTGGTAAGCATATACAAAAGGTTGTTTTCGGCCAGGTGTGGTGACTCATGCCTGTAAATCCCAGGACCCTGGGAGGCTGAGGCTGGGGGATTGCTTGAGGCTGGAAGTTTGAGAACAGTCTGGGCAACAGAGTGAAAGCTCTACCAAGAAGTAAAAGTAGCCGAGCCTGAGAATATGTGTCCGTGGTCTCAGTTATTCAGGAGGCTGAGGTCGGAGGATTGTTTGAGCCCAGGAACGTGAGGCTGCAGTGAGCCAGGGCCACCCCACTGCACTCCAGCCTGGGCGACAGTCAGATTGCCAGATCTCTTAAAAAATAAAAAACAGTAGTTGTTTTCAAGTCTTGGGTGCCTGTTTTGGAAACAAGTGTGTGCTCCTTTCTTACCCGGGGATGCTCCTGCCACCGCGGTGTAGCTGCAGCAGAGGCTGGTGTGACAGCCACAGAGCCCGGGGCGTTTACTATCTGCACCTTTACAGAAAATGTTTGCAGACCCTCGCCTTGCAGAAATGTATCCGCTTCTTCTAGATAGTTTTCATATTTATCATAGGTTGTGGATTTAGAAAAAGGTTACAAGTCACTAACTCCAACAGTTCTGGGTGATGGCTGGATGCTGAACAATTATTTTGATTATCTTGACAGTCTGTGAAATAAATCGGCAGCAGTGTCTTTGCTCTCAGTGGCGTCTGCTCACCTGTGCAGCCGTTTTGCCGGGGTGAGGGGAGCAGTGGACTTGAGGAAGGAGCCTGTCAGCCCTTTCCAGAACCATCCCCCTCACAACCCCAGGAAGCCGTGAGATGAGCGCTTGCTGGGCTCTCTCCGTCCTCGCCTGGACTCCTGTGCGGATAGACGAGGGGATGTGCTTGCTGAGTTTGCCCTGATCTTGGTGTTCGGGAACTGATTGCTGAGTTTGCCCTGATCTTGGTGTTCGGGAACTGATTGCAGTGGCGGTCAGAGCCGCAGCGACCGCCTGTTTGCCTGTTTGCCGGGCTGCTTCCGTGTGCTAATGGCGCTTGGTTAGGCGGATACTCAGAGTGGTGTCCCTTGAAAGGAGTTTGATTTATCGTCAGGAGAGATTTTCTGCTTTTGCATGCAGCATCCAGCCACTTGTCTACTCATCTGTTTTATGCGAAAATCGGGGCTACGGGAGCGCCCAGGAGAGCTGCCGACCCAGACATCTCCTGGGAAATACATTGCTGAGATGGAGACCTGCAGCCTGTCTAGGCCCTGGCGGGGTTGGCTCAGTAGAGTGGAGCTGGGGCTGGGAGATGGGGGAGCAGCTGCCTCTTGAGGGGGCTCAGAGGCAGAGCAGGAGGGCTGGGAAGGGGCTGGGTGCGAGCCGTAGGCATGAGGACCTCGTCCTCCAGCAGCGCTGAACTCTGAGCAGGCTGGGGTCTTTGCCTGTTCCTGTGGTTGCCTAGTGCTGGGGGGAGAGAGGGACAGAGCCCCTCCAAGCATGCCACATGGTGGAAGAATCTGGGCCTATGGCCATGCAGCTGGAGAGGAAGGGACAGTGTGGGGAGCTTGGACTTGGCCATTTGGGACAAGGGGATGGGAGAGACAGGTCCTTCCTGGAGCCTCCATAGGAGTGACATTTGCTGGGGTCAGCAACTTGGCAAGAGGAGGGTGATTCAGACCCTGTCAGGACAGCTCTCTGCGAAGTCCAGGAAGAGAGGTATGGATGGGAGGGAAGCCATGGGTGGAAAAGAAGGCTTCCAATGGAAGGCAGTGAAAACTTACCGTGGGAAAGAGGAGGAGGAGGAGGCCGCGGAGCTGGGGCAGGAATAGCAGCCGGCAGCAGGGCGTCAGGGCAGCAGGCACTCAGGAGGCCCACGGGAGAGCTTCCTGGAAGCAGTGGACTATCTGGGCAGGCAGGCAAGGGGCGAAAGCTCCTGCTGGAGCAATCCCAGCTCAGTGCCCCCCAAAGCCAGAGCAAGAGGCTGAGAAGGATGCAAGTACCGTCCTAGGTTTGACTCAGAGGCTGGAGGCAGAAGCAGCAGGGGAGCACTCCCTCAGCAGAGTGGGGAGGAGCCCTCATCCGTGAGGAGGTTGCAGCACAGAGGTCTAGGTTTGCAGTTCAGGACCAGTAGGTGAGGGGTCCCAGGGTCTGTCTGCTGTGAAGGAGAACGTGTTTACCACGGGGAGGAGGCCAGGAGAGAGAGAGGCTTGAAAGTGAGGGCGAGAAAGCTTTGCGGGCCGTGAAGGGCGGAGTAGGAGTCGGTGGTTGAGGGTGGCTGTGGCAGGTGACCTTTCAGGTGAGACAGCCCAGGAAGGAGTGGGTGGGGCCCAGAGAGACCCTGGGAGGAGGCAAGCTCTGCCCTCCAGAGAAACAGGAGCAGAGAGAAAACAGCCACGCGAGCAGCCTGCGGTCTGGGATAACACCCAGGCTGCCAGCATCCCCTGCTTCGCTGGTTGGGGGTGGGGGGCTTCATTCTCACACTGCGATGGCTCTGTCCATGCCAGCCAGGGGAGAGCAGGACACTGTGACTGCTGCACTCGGGTTAGCCCAGAACTCTCAGGTCTTTTCCGTTGAAGTTTAATTTCTAATGCACTTTTATTTAATATCAGGTTGCAGATTTTAAAGATGCCCTTGCCAGAGTATATAGAGTGATACCCAAAATCCACTGCCTTCCGCCAAGCCAGGTAGACAGTTATGTTTTCTCTTCCTTTTTTTTCTCAAGAAGACAAGTTCTCCTTTCCTGACTGCCTTGTCTTCACCATGCAGTTCCCAGGGGCAGATTTGTATTTGTACATTTGTGTCTGTAATGTGTACATGTGCTGTGTGTGTGGGCGTGTGTGTGTACATGGGCCTGTGCATCTGTGTTCATGTGCAGTGTGCGTGGGCGTGTGTGTGTACAGGGCCTGCGCATCTGTGTGCATGTGCAGTGTGTGTGTGGACTTGCATGAGTGTGTACATGGCCTGTGCATCTGTGTGCATGTGCAGTATTTGTGGGCGTGTGTGTGTACAGGGCCTATGCATCTGTGTGCATGTGCAGTGCATGTGGGCGTGTGTGAATGTGTACATGGCCTGTGCATCTGTGTACATGTGCAGTGTGTGTGGGCGTGTGTGTGTACATGGCCTGTGCATCTGTGTGCATGTGCAGTGACTGTGTACAGGGCCTATGCATCTGTGTTCATGTGCAGTGTGTGGTCGTGTGGGTGTACATGGCCTGTGCATCTGTGTTCATGTGCAGTGCATGTGGGCGTGTGTGTGTACAGGGCCTGTGCATCTATGTGCATGTGCAGTGTGTGTGGGTGTGTGTACAGGGCCTATGCATCTGTGTGCATGTGCAGTGTGTGTGGAGATGTGTGTGTGTGTACATGGGTCTGTGCATCTGTGTGCATGTGCAGTGTGTGTGGACGTGTACATGTGCAGTGTGTGGGGGGCGTGTGTGTGTGTACATGGGTCTGTGTATCTGTGTGCATGTGCAGTGTGTAGACGCTTGTGAGTGTGTACATGGCCTGTTCATCTGTGTGCATGTACAGTGTGTGTGGCTGTGTGTGTGTACATGGTCCTGTGCATCTGTGTGCATGTGCAGTGTGTGTAGGCATGTGTGTGTGTACATGGCCTGTGCATCTGTGTGCATGTGCAGTGGGCATGGGCGTGTGTGTGTACATGGGCCTGTGCATCTGTGTGCATGTGCAGTGTGTGTGTGTGTGTGTTTGTGTATGTGTGTGTACATGGGCCTGTGCATCTGTGTGCATGTGCAGTGTGTGTGTGTGTGTACATGGGCCTGTGCATCTGTGTGCATGTGCAGTGTGTGTGAGAATGTGTGAATGTGTACATGGCCTGTGCATCTGTGTGCATGTGCAGTATGTGTGGGCTTGCATGAGTGTGTACATGGGCCTGTGCATCT